TCACCCAGTGAGCAAACCGGCCATCCCTATATAGGATCCGAACCCGTGGCCTTGGTGTTGTCAGCACCGCACTCTCCCGAGTGAGCCACGGGGCCGGCCCGAAAGCTACCTTTGGATCACTGGATGGGTTCTTGGACTGACTGTACTACTCTGGTCCTTGGCTGAGATGGGCTGGAACTGAGACCCAGGGTCGTTTGAGGTCCACTGCTGAGAGTCAGATCTTCAGGCCTGTCTCAGTGGTCATGGATAATCATGTCTCCGAGTGGTTTCTTGAGTGAGCAGGCTTGCTTTCAGACTGCAGTTGAGAAGGGCTGGAGCCAGTTTTTAAGGCTGTTTGAAGATCCACAGTGGGACTGAGGTAAGATGTCAGCCTGCAGGGGCACCAGTGGATGTGCCTCCCTCTGGGTCCCCAGGTGGGCAGAACTTCCCTTAGTCTGTAGATGAGAGGGGCCAGGACTGAGATCCAGAGCCATTTGAGGACCTGCTGAGAGACAGAGGTTGGCAAACCTGCCAGAAGGGCTCAGATGGGCACATCTTCTGGCACGACCCTGGCTGGTTAGAACTTGTGCCAGACCACAGCTGGAAAGGGCTGAAACCATGTCAGGGCTAATTCAGAAGCTGCTGTGGAATTGAGTTGGCAAGCCCAGCCTGCTTGTACCAGCAGGCAAGACTCCCAGCAGTTCTCTATGCAGATAAGATTGCTCATAGACTGCAGCTGAGAAAGGATGTAACTGACACTCAAGACCCTTTCTAGAATTGCTGTGGGAGGAGGCTGACAGGCCTGTCTGGGTGCTTCTCTCAGGAGTTACCTGCAAAGGCAGGGCAACTCCAGGGCTGTAGCAATGAGGGGCTAGAGCCAAAACAGGGCCTCTCCAGGATCTGCTGTAGGATGGAGGTTGGCAAGTCTGTCCATTTGGCTCAGAAGGGCGAGTCCCACTTTGGGTCTTGTGTGAGCAGTACTAAACTGGGATCACAGTTGAGGGGACCTGGAGCTGAGATATAGGGTAATTTAGGTTTACTGACAAGACTGATGTCAGCAGGCAGTCTGCTGAAGCTCTAGTGTGCATGATTCCTCCTGGTCCCCTTGACAGATGTTCTGGTAGCAGGCTCAAGGCCAAGTGGGGCTGTAGCAGAACTCTTCAAGGAACAGGGCTATTTGGGGTTTAAACCGGGGAGTGCTATTTGCAGGTCTAAAATTAGTTAGATCTTCACTGGCTTCCATTGTTTGCAGGTGGAAGTCCAAACTCGGCGTGTATGGCCTGCAAGCCTACCTAGCTCCTTTCTGTTATTCTAGCCTTGCCACACACTACTTTGTATTCTTGTGCTTCAGCTCTGCTGTACTACTGGTAGTGCCTTGAGTGGGCATATTGCCTCTTGCTTCCTTGTCTTTGCCAGGTTGTTTCTACATAACTGAACATCTTTCCATCCTCTGCCTTCTGTGCTTACCAATGCTTTATTTTCTCTAGGAAAATCTTTCAGTCTCTCTATCCCCATTCCCAACATATCTGGATTAGGTTCCCTTGTATAACTTTACCGTAGCACTACTCGTCTGATCTTGTAATTGTTTGTTTATGCCAGCAGTTTTCCAATTGCAGTCTGGGGTCCCTGGGGTTCCCCAAGATTCTCTTAAGGTTCTGACAGGTTAAGTACTGGGTTTTTTTTATAACATTTAAAAATATCTCATGTTTTGCAAAACAGCAGGGCTTTTGGGAAAAATAGGGTTGGGGCGTACTACTCAAAACGTATACAGCTTTGTAACCAGTGTACCACAAAACAATAGCGATCCTAAATTGATTTTGAGATAAATCTCTACTGGAATATGCATGTAACATCACAATCAGTCAGTTCTTCACAGCCTTAAACCCTAGGGTTCATCTTCTTCCTTCAAGGAATTGGTCCTGAAGGACAAATTGCTGTGTGTGGATATAATTTTTATCAAAAATTGAAAATCTGAACCTGGATATAGCCATCTTCATTAATCTGTTGTTTTAATTCAGGGATAATTGTTTTAGAACTTTTTCATTTATATTCATAGCTTCCTGAGATCACTTGAAGCCACTAAACTCACATCTCATTTGCTTTATAGGAAGGTACTATGTATATTTCAGCTCTTTTGCTTAAAGTCTTCATTAAGTTCCTAAGGGTAACCCTTTAATTATGAGGAAGCTTGCTTCTTTCCAGTCATTTTAAAACGTGAACATGAATGAACCACCACAACTTCCTCACTGTATTCACGTTGTTACTCTGTATGCTAAGTGCATCAATTAGTTTGTGGCAATGAAACATGCATCGTAGTAGATTGTACCTGCTGTTCCAGGAAACCTTTCCTGACCACTTTCCTGCATTCAGATCTGCTTCTCTGCCTCTCCTACTAGAACTTTGACAAAGGAGTCTAAGATACCAGGTTTCACATTCTTGCGCTGATTCTTGTTGACGGGGTGATGTTTTTTTCGCTTTTTAAGTACCTCGTCTCAGGTCTATTGCTATAGATCTGAAACAGGTTTTTCTGTATATATATTACACCACACAGGATGCATCTTCTACAATGGAAGTGGAATTCTCTTGTGTTAAATTTTCTGACTGGCTCTCAGTTGCTTACAGTAGACATTCTTAAATTAGAGTGGACTTCTGGGTATCTAGGAGCTCAAAAGCCTTCTGAAATTCTATGCAAAACTGTTCAGTTTTTTATAGGGGGGGTCTATAAGTTTGGTGAGATTTTCAAAGGGATCTAGGCTAAATATATATATGTATATAAACATATATATGTGTGTGTGTATATATATATATTTTGTGTGTGTGTGTGTGTATATCCTTGTCATTGGCCTATAGGATTAAGGCTGTTATGGTGCTGAGAAGTGCCCATCTGCACATAATTTCTCAAAAGCAGCATCTGCTCTCTTGGTTTAGTACCAGCTGTTTCCTCAGCCTACGATTCCCTCCTTTAACCCTTTTACACAGTGCATGCCTTTAGGAAAGCTTTCCTTGATTCCGGCATCCAGGTCTTTGGGTTCCTCTGGGCTTCTGTTCATTGCAACCCTCCATCCCTTTACAGGTGGTTTCTCACTTGAAAGTGGGCATGCTCGTGCCTTCTTCATAGCCTTATTGCAATGTTTAATATGATAACATACGGATAACACACTTAGTATGGTGTCTGTCAGTAAATGGTAGTATTTCTTATTTGATTCATCATCTTGCCTCTTTCTCACCAAGATTGTGAGCTGTGTGGTAAAGACAACATTTGTTTGTTTTACTGTGATAATTTTGATTAGGATAGAGTTCAGAAGCACCTAAGAAGGGTCAGGTCCTTCCTAAGCCCTAGAACCAACACAAAGGGAATAATTTTTCAAACCAGTAAATTGTGGCATTTATAGTAGAGTCATTTGTTAAATGTCTGTGCATAGTTAATTACTTTTATAAAATCCTTAGGCAAGTGCCACACTGGATACTGATGGAGGCTGTCTCCCAATCTGGTGTAGCCATTTTTTCTTTCATGTTGGGTACTCTCTGAATACCAGATGAAAAAGTTGACTTATGCTTAGGGGCCATGTCATGTAAAAAATCTTGAAATGCTAAAATTACACTGAGCAAGTCGAGATGCTTGAGCTATAAAAGGATGCCAGAACTAAAAGCTGTCAAAAGAATAGTGAATTGACATCTACAATTGCACTACACAGTATACTTATTGAGAAGTATGTTGTAAACTTTTATATGTTTTAAATTATTTATTTTTGGGGATTGAGGAGAGTGGAGCCAGCCAATTTTGTATAAGTGAGTTTGAATAAATTAAATGAGTGTAATTTGAGTTCACAGTATTTCCTCTACTCAAAGTTCTTAAGGAGATCATAGGAAAGGACAAAGGGGACACAGAAAAGACAATGTGACAGTACTGGAGAAGCTGGGGGCCAGGGGTCTGAAGACCCTGAGGATGCCGGAGGCCCTGATGCTTTTCATCTCTAAAGGCAAGAGTAGGGTATGGCCTTCCTAGAGTTGGCTGTCAGACTCTTGTTTTTAGGCATGTGTATTTCATTTCGAACTTTCCTCTTCGCCTGATTTGTTAATTCAGAAACTGATATATGAATTTACTTATCAACTGTAGTTGAATAAAGCTTAAATTGTATATTCAGTATTATGTATTGAAATTCTTTAGTTTTTCAAGTTGCTCTTATGTTCCTATTCAAAGATGCTGAGTTGGATCTGTTAAGGAAATTCATCATATGTGTGTGTGTGTTTATATATAACATGTTTCAGTGCTTATACCATTAAAAGTTGTTAATAAAATTTGTGGGCTCATTATTTATTACAAGGTATACCAAACAAAATAACTTTTGTGTGTGAATGTGTGTATTAAACATGTGGGTCTGGGTTTTTTGAATTTTATATTCAGTGTTTGGGAATATATTATTCTTTGTGTTAAAGTTTTAAAGTTAGTGCAGTTTGGAATCATTAGCGATTTTTAAGTCCAAGAATTTTAAATCAATCAACTAACTGCTTATTTAACTAGGATTATTATATTATAAGGAAGCCATGTGGCTTAGTGATTAAGACATGGTTTCGGAATCCAAAAGACCTAAGACTTAGTCCTGGCAGTACACTTTCCAGAGCAGCACCATCGAGTATGGCAACCACTAGCCACATGTATCTATAAGCACTTGAAATGCAGCTTGGTTGACTTACTGAATTTTAAATTGTATTTAATTTTAACTAATTCAGATCTAGGTAGCTATGTGTGACTAGTGGCCACCATCATGGGCTTCACAGTAGTAAGTGACTAACTTCTCTATGTCCCAGCTTTTATATCTGTACAGATGAGGTCATACTTCAAGCTACTTTTTATGTTTATTATAAGAATTAAGTAAAGTAATATTCTTAAGGAATTTACACTATGCCTGGAACAGACTATGTCCTTAAGGAATGGTAGTTAATAAACTGGAATTATTTTCCTTTTGAGCATTAATTTAAACCTGTTTTTATTCTTCCCTTCTAGGATTAATTTATTTTGGAAATCAAGTTCAATATTAAAAGGAAAACAAACCACACTACATTATTGGAAGCCATTTTTGCTAATTTTATTACATTTTAAAATTTATGATTTGATTTGAATACTATCATGGGCGGAGCTGTGAGTGCTGGGGAAGATAATGATGACTTAATTGATAACTTAAAAGAAGCTCAGTATATCCGCACTGAGAGAGTGGAGCAAGCCTTCAGAGCGATTGATCGCGGAGATTACTATTTGGAAGGCTACAGAGACAATGCTTACAAAGACTTAGCCTGGAAGCATGGAAACATCCACTTGTCAGCACCTTGCATTTATTCTGAAGTTATGGAAGCACTGAAACTTCAACCAGGATTGTCTTTTCTTAACCTGGGAAGTGGAACCGGATATTTAAGTACAATGGTGGGCTTAATTTTAGGTAATTTTATTTTTGTAAAATTTTATTTTAAAAAGTAAGCTGAGTTTGTATTACTGTTTATGATTTACAGGGTTTGTAACTTTGTGTGTGTATACTCAAAGTAGTTACATCACTTAAATGTGGAAACACAAAGTAGTAATCTTTTCTCAATCTCGGCATGCACACCTAGACTTACAGTAGTAGCTCTTGGATCTGTTCTCCAACTCTCAGTAATTGTATTTGAAATTGAGTAACTGATAGGCAGGAATCTCAGGAATATTATTTAATCTATTTTAGGTAAGCTGTTCTGTTTGCTTTCATATAAAGTTTGATGGGTATCTGTGTCCCATTTTAAATGGTAGGATAATTGTGTCAGTTTTTGTTGGAGAGCCAGGAATTGCTGATATAGAGGGTGTGGCACTGGTGGGGCAAAGCGAGGGATTGGAGAAAAACACAGAAGAAAGAAGTATATATTCACTGAGCTTTCAGGATACTTACTGAGTGTCTGCTCTGTCAGGCATGTTTCCTGGTGTGAGCATACAGCAGTGATCAAAAGGGACAAAGCTCTTGAGGAGCTTTCTGGGTGTTTACTGTGAGGGCTAGGCATTGTTTAAAGCACTATATATGTAATAATGCATTTAATGTTTCTAATAATCCTTTGAAGTATATACTTTTTTTTTTAATGCCGTTATATAGGTGAGTAAACTGAGGCACAGAAAGGTTAAATAACTTTCCTAAAGTTACATAACTAGGAAGTGATAGGTAGGAAACATGGAATATGGGTGGAAAAGCATGGATGGAGGAAAATCTGCTATAAGCCATTATTCGATGGTGGATGAACAACCATGAAATTGCTAAGCCATTTAGTTTAGCTGCCATATTTACTGAGTGTTATTCTGTGACAAACATTAAGTTAGAGCATTAAGGACCGTGATGTAAACGCTTTTGGATTCACGGCATAAGAAAATCACCCTCATCCAGTGTGATAGGTGCTATAGTTGAGGTATGTGCTCAAGTTAAAGGGATGAGAATGTGGTGTAAAATTCTTTCTAAAGTGATGGGGACTCATTGAATGTAAAGAATAACATATCCTCTAGGAGGGTACTCTTTTTTTCCAGTGTGATGGGACAGTCTTAGTTTATCCCTCTTGTCCTAGCATCAGTATTACTAATGTCCTTTTTATTCCTAATAATGTCCCAGCTTGGACAATAAATTATATGGTCACATTACGTCACTTTAAAGGCATTTTCAGGTCTGAAATTCCCTCAGTAAAGAGAAATTTAGAAGCCTATGTTTAAATTTGGTGCTCCTCCCCATCCTGAGAAGAATTTCTTAGTAGGTTGGAATTTCTGGACATCTATTACTTCTATCCCCAGAGTCTCTTTGAAAAAGGAATCTCTAGAGTTTGAGACAATTTCCAAATCAAAGGAACCTACTGAGGGGAGTAGGGAGAGCTGCTTCTTTTAAAAAGTGGGAGTTGTCCTTGAACCAGTTCATTTCTTGACCAGCTCTGGCACTTTTAGGCTGGAGTCCAGGCCTCATACCATGTCTGGCCAGCTTCAGAGCCTCTGTTTATTCTATCTTCCACTATGTAGCTTCTGCTGAGGAAGGTCAATCTAGCCAAAGGCGGGGTGGGGGATTTGTGTGTCATAATTAGCAACCTTGCTAGCCATGAGGTCGCCTTCCTTAGACTCATTGCCTAGTGCCAGTCTCCAAGAGATTAGATTCCTGTGGCCAGATGCACTTGTAGGCAAACCTCAAACTTTATTGTGTCTTGAATGTCTTTTATTCCTTCCCAGAGGGCAGTGTGGGGAAACAGACCCTTTTGTTAATGATTCACAATGTACTAGGTATTTTCCTCCTGTTATAAGGCTCTGGGGAGTCACATATCTTTCGTCATGTATTTGACCACAGCTTCTGGATCCTATTTCAGGATTTACCTATATGTGATCCTGCACAGTTAAGACCTTTTGATTAGGAATATTTATTTGGTGATAAAGATAAAAACATTTTAAGGAAGAAAGAACAGTCTGTAAAACTATGATTACATAATCTTGAATCCACCAAATTTCTAAGGAAGCTTAATCTTTTTTCCTTTTTTTTGGTTTTTGTTTTGTGTTTCATGTGTGTTTTAAGTCAAGGAGGGGAGGGAATAGGTCCATAAAAATCACTTAGAACTAGCTGCAAAGAGTGATGCTTACATGCTCTCTATAATTATCTGAGTATAATGAATCAGATTTGGCTCCACTGCTTCACAGTGACCTTATTAACAGAAGTTCTTTCCTTTTAAAAAAACTTTAACGCCATGGTTCTTAGCCATTTTTCTCTCCCAGTCACAAGATGGGGGATGGCAGGTGCTCACCACAGGCAGTGGGTTCTATGTGAGGAGGTATTCAGTAGTCCTGAATAACCTGGAGGAATCTGGGCTGAGGCAGGGAGAGCAGGGCATCTGTGGTTTGTTAACACAGTTAAGGAAGATGCCCCTTGGAGAATTCTTACTTCACCCTAGAAATACAAATGTAGAGGATTGGCTATTATTAGGGAGCTTTTGCTGTTCAGTGTGGGGAAGTTAGGTTTTTTTCAGGAAATTTGCTAGGATTAAAGTACACTTGAAGCAGTTATTCATAAATTTAGTTCGACCCCAGACATAGAGAATGGATCACTCCAACTCCTTAAGATGTCTCTGAGACATCTTGAATTTCAAATTGAAGATAATTTTTCGTGTTCCCCTCACTTCTTAAGTGTCTTCTCAGAACAGGGTTTTCCCAAAGAATTTACTATTTAATTGATTTTCCTCGTAGTTAGTATTGTCTTCTCATTTTTAGGGAATTCCATTAAAAAATATGCAAGAAGGGCCGAGCCCGTGGCGCACTCGGGAGAGTGCGGCGCTGGGAGTGCAGCGGCGCTCCCGCCACGGGTTCGGATCCTGTATGGGGATGGTCAGTGCGCTCACTGGCTGAGCGGGGTGCGGCCGGTCTCAAAAAAAAAAATATGCAAGAAGGGCCGAGCCCGTGGCGCACTCGGGAGAGTGCGGCGCTGGGAGTGCAGCGGCGCTCCCGCCACGGGTTCGGATCCTGTATGGGGATGGTCAGTGCGCTCACTGGCTGAGCGGGGTGCGGCCGGTCTCAAAAAAAAAAATATGCAAGAAAAGAGGCCTCCCTAGTCTTGTACTTGATCTCTACTTACCAGAATTAAATTACATGTCAGAACCATGAAAGTAAGTTATTGTGACAAACTGTTTCTGATTTAGGTAAGGATTCTGAATCCTGATGCTTTCTGTTTAGGGATTCATTCCATTTATCTATCTATCTATCTATCTATCTATCTATCTATCTATCTATCTATCTAATCTAATCTATCTAACCTATTTTTTTTTTTTTTTTTGGTGGCAGCTGGCCAACATGGGGAAACTGAATCTTTGACCTTGGTGTTACAGGGCAGTGCTCTAACCAGTTGAGCTAACCAGCCAGTTCTCGTTCCCATTTTTTAAATATAACCCATAATATAAAAATTGGAGGTGTTTTTGTTTTTGTTTTTATAAAACCCATATAGATTCACCCAACTGAATGGCTTTCTTAGTCTCTTACATAGTTCCGTAGTTAATAAGAGTGATGTGGAAAGACTGCCAATCATTCCAGCACTGTGGATGCCACTACCTTGGTGCTACAACATAATGTTTCTAAAGTGGAAACGATTGACAAGCAGGAAACTTATTGCCAATATATATAAGTACCTATACCTGCTGTATTGTCCAAGAGGGCTGATTAGATAAGCTCTATGCTGCCATTGTGGGTGGCCTCCACACCCTTTGTCTCTTTACCACAGGACATTAAATGGTTTTTATTCAGCTATATTGTCTTTGACCTTAGGTACTCCTGCTTTTCTCTGTTTTGCCTGTGCTCTCTTTCTCTCTCTCCCTTTAATGAGGCATGATTTACATACCATAAAGGTTACCCATTTTAAGTGTATAGTTCAGTGATTTTTAGTAAATTTACAGACTTATGCAAACATTACTACAATCCAATTTGAAAACACTTCTGTTATGCCAAAAAGGTCTCTCATGCCCAATTGTGTACACTCCTGATCCCCACAGAGCCCCTGGAAACCAGTTGCCTGCTTTCTGTCTCTATAGATTTGCCTTTCTCTGGACATTTCATTTAAATGCTATCATACAATATGTGGTCTTTTGCATCTGGCTTCTGACTAAGCATTGTTTTCAAGTTTCATCCATGCTATAGCATGTATGAGTACTTTTTTTTTTAATGGCTGAATAATATTCCATTGTATATTTCACATTTTGTTTATCTGTTCAGAAGCTAATGGACATTTGAGTTATTAATTTTTGGCTATTATGAATGATGCTTCCATGAGCATTCACATACAAATCTTTGTGTGGACATATGTTGTTATTTCTCTTGAGTGGAATTACTGAGCTGTATGGTAAATTTATGCTTAACTTTTTAAGAAATTGACAAACTTTTCCAAAGTGACTACACCGTTTTACATTTTCACTAACATTGGTATGAGGTTCCGATTTCTCCATATCCTCACTGAGACTTGTTTTTTAATAGCCATCTAGTAGATGTGAAGTGATATCTCATTGTGGTTTTAATTTGCACTTCCCTAATGACTAGTGATGTGGAACATCTGTGCATGTGCTTGTTGGCCATTTGTGTATCTTTAGTGAAATGTTTGTTCACATCTTTTCCCCATTTTTTTAATTGGGTTGGTGTTCTGAGTTGTAAGTTTTCTTTATATATTTTGGTTGTAAGCTTTTATCAGAAACATGATTTTTAGATGTTTTTCAGTGGTCTTTTTAGCACCTCTTTTAGAAGGCTCTGTATTGCCTTACTTCAGTCCAAAGGATTAGGAAAATTCAGACTGCTCAGGTGCCCTCCCCCACTTTCTTCTGGATGAAATAAAACACATTTTGTAGGTTTCTCTCTAAGGTAGATACTATATTCTGCATTAAACCACACCTCAGTTTTTCCTCTAGCCTCTGTTTCACTTTTTTAAAGAAG